TAACCCCTGTTCTAGACCATACACTTTCATATTTTGGTGCCAGCATGTAAATCAGTTATACATTGTGTGTGTGTGTGTGTGTGTGTGTGTGTGTGTGTGTGTGTGTGTGTGTGAGAGAGAGAGAGAGAGAGAGAGAGAGAGAGCGAGAGGGAGAGAGAGAGAGAGAGAGAGAGAGAGAGAGAGAGAGATTGTATCTGTCTGCCTGTAAATCTATAAATCTGGGCATACCAGCAGAGAGATTTTGTGGTAAGATGTGGTTTCTATGGAGGATGTTTACCTGGCTGCCCAGATGATGTGGTTATGATTACTCACTAACCTTCCTCCTCAGGATGGGGTAAACTCTTCCAGCAGGGAAAGCATCCCCACGGGTGAGGTCTTCATCCCAGTCCTTGAACTCCTTCTTTCTATCCCCAGTCTCTGTTTTGTGGGCCCCCGTGGATCCTCACCAGTTTGCTGTCTGAGCCCCCTGGCTTCCTCTGCATTGTTTCACTTTCCAGCTACTACAATACAAGCCTTGCCTCCCTTATTGTGGAAAGTTCACTGCTGCTGGATCTAACCTGCAGTGGTCTCTGCAGTACACCTGTGGGCTGCATCCTCCCATGCCGAGCCTGGTTTCTCTCATGGTGCCTGTGCTTAGGCCTCACAGTCCTATGATGAACTAACTACTTCTCAGCTGCTTGGACACAAGTCAGGGTCATACTCAGGGTTGCTCTCAAGGATGCTGCCAATAGTCACATAGGCTGTGCTGACCAGTCTCCCATTTATACTTCCTGGCCATTACTACTCGTCATGAATTTATGGTCTAACAGACTCCCACTGCCTGCCTTGACCACACATTTTTTAGTCTGCTGCTGTCCAGGAGCATGCTCATTATTATGACCGGTTGTCAGGGCCTGGAGAAATGGTGTCTAGGCAAGGAGGTCTTTCTTCCTGAAAACAACAGATATGCTTTCTCTATGTTCCATTCTGTTTCTACTTCAGAACGTTCCCTATTTATCTATCTGGCTGACAGAACTTTAACTCCTACGTACATCAAAGGTCATATGCTTTCTACCCCAGAGCACACTTTAAATCCCTTAATTTGTATTCTTTCTTCCATGTAGGAAACATACATACTTTCTCTCTCTCTCTCCCTCTCCCTCCCACTCCCTTACTCCCTCCCTTCCTAAACTGATGGTCAGAATATCTGGTCTCAAATCTAACGCCACCATATTTCCTTACAATGTTAGACAAATTAACATATTTTCAATAGCTGCAAGATTAAATCTAAGCTCCTTACCTAGCCAGATTCATAAGTTTTTTGTGAGGTGCTGATGAACAGTGACAGGGAAGGAGATGCTTAAGTAGGGCTGTGAGGAAAAGCCTCTCTGAAGAAGTGATATTGAGAAAGTGATACTTGAGGTCATTATATTTGAGAGGAAGCCAACTATATGCTGAACCATGAAAGTACTTAATAAGCTGTAAGACATCATCTCAGTGAATAGTAGTCCCCTCCAGTCCCCTGTGCAGCAGGGGAAATTAGAAAGCAGTAAGAGTTTTTCAGTTTCTGAAGCTATAACTTTTCAGTAATCTCTGGACTTCCTTGCCAACCTCCGTTTTTTGTTTTTTTTTTTGCGGTACGCGGGCCTCTCACTGTCGTGGCCTCTCCCATTGCGGAGCACAGGCTCCGGACGCGCAGGCTCAGCGGCCATGGCTCACGGGGCCAGCCGGTAGGCGGACTCTCAACCACTGCGCCACCAGGGAAGCCCCAACCTCCATTTTTTTATCCAAATCATGTCTCTCCTCCTCCTCTTCTGTTGCTGGTTTGTGCTGGCCTCATTTACGTCCCTGTCGTCTCTCTCCTGTCTGTGATGCCGCCGTCCTTATGCCCACTCTCAGTCTTCCCTGCCTCCCTTCCCTTCCTTCCTCCCTTCCTGCTACTTTGACTTGCTGCTCCCTCCAAACCCCTGCAATTGATTTCCCTTTCTAATAACGCTGTGGTTTTAAAACCTTCTTGAAGGTTTCCTAGGCTGCCTTGGTTTTTGGCTAAACTACCTGTCCTTTTTAATATAAACAACTTCTGATACTCACCTTCAGAAAGAGGGAATATTTCCAAATTAATCTGACTGGAACTTGGCTGGCAGAGTGCCTAGCACATAATAAGCTCTCAATAAATATTTTTTGAATACTGAATGAACGAACTGATTGTCCTAATCTTACCTACTCTATCTGCAGGATTAAGGTGGTTTTTTTCCTTAATCACACGTATATTCTTTTTTTTTTCTTGGCCGTGTTGGGTCTTCGTTGCTGCACGCGGGCTTTCTCTAGTTGCGGCGAGCGGGAGCTACTCTGTTGTGCTACGCGGGCTTCTCATTGCGGTGGCTTCTCGTTGCGGAGCACGGGCTCCAGGTGTGTGGGCTTCAGGAGTTGTGGCTCGCGGACTTTAGAGTGCAGGCTCAGTAGTTGTGGCATGTGGGATCTTCCCGGACCGGGACTTGAACCCGTGTCCCCTGCATTGGCAGACGGATTCTTAACCACTGCGCCACGAGGGAAGTCCTCAAATGTATATTCTTTCCTCACACATAAAATGCATATAAAAACCTTCACCTTCCACTATACAGGGATATCAAAACCTCTTATTAACAGGATTTTTATTTTAAATCTACTGTATTTTGTACATATGGAACTTTGTCATTAATCCCAGAGACAACTACAGGCATTGGCAGTATCTTGGAGATTTTTTTTTTTCTTTTTTTCCACAGTGTCCCTCACAGTGCATGGTCACAAGCCCTCAGCATTGAGTATGCAAATGTTTATTTACTAATGCTAATAATGATTACAGAGATTTCGATTGTTTTTGGTTTTTATTTTCATCATCCTGAGTAATCAGATGTATTCATTCAGATTAAGCAAAAATTTTCAAAGGAAAATCTTTCTATTGTCATATTTTCAGTTAAGTAGCAACTAAAAGCAGTGTTTCTTTCGAAGAAAAATTTCCATATGTGTTCAAAGTTTGGTTTTAGCCACTTTGCATGATATTACTGATCACCGATGGCAGTAATAATTTAGTCTCAAACAACTTTTCAAGATTTATCAAAAACAAATGGTGTATTCACTTTTTATAGATATGGAAGTATGTTTAGACTCATCACTGCCAACTCATTTCCAGTATTGGGTCTTAACTGTTGTTAAGTACTCATTTAAAAGAAATAAAAATCTTACTCTGTGTGTCAACTAGAAATAACATATAGATGATCCTTCAGCTTTGGGCATTCTCTGTTTATAGTTCTAAAAATTTAAATAATACCAAAAATAGGTAAAGAATCCTGTTGTGTTTTTTGGTGCTTTTATTATATTCTTTAAATCAAGAAATCCTGTACAATTTAAACTGTGGTTTTTATTTAGACTAGCATAAGGTTCTGAGCCATGTGAACAGGAACAACTTCAAAACAGCAGTTCAGTATTTATGATTTTATATTTGCTGCCCATGGGACGTAACTATAATGCAATGGGGCAGTCTTTCAAACAAATATGCTAAGAGTTGTGCAAGGAGGCCCTTGTCCCCTTCAAGGCAGTCACCTCGGGAGGCTACACGTTGGTTCAGTAATACTGCCGTGGCTTAAAGTGATGTGGAATGCCTCTTTTTAAACTGCCTCTGAACTGCTAAGAAATAATAAAGAGTAAAATGACACATTATTTTAAATATCGTGAATTGTGGCAGAGATGCATTTAAATTTGGTAACTAATCAGAAATCATCTCAGGACCAAGTACAATGAATAAAATGTGGAGTGTTTGGAGTCACAGTTTGATGTAAAACAACAAGATGGGCTTTCTTGAATGATACATAAACTAACTCTCGAAATTGGTTGTCAAAGAGGAATTCCAGAATCTTGAACCTTGGAATAAATGTATAAGCTCCCAAGGTAGCTACTATGAAGAACAACTCATATTTAGATTAAAAAAAGAAATTATGTGTGTGTATGTTTGCAAAATAAGATCAGTTTTATTACTTTATAGACATATGTTGTAGATGAAAAAAATACTCCTACCATGGAACTCTTTATAAGCAAACTTCCGAATGTAAGTAGAATTTCTCTCTCACCCTTTCTAAGCTTTTTGAGAAACCCAAATTTCTAATAATGACTTATTCTGAATCTTCAGCTTTAAAAAAATGTAATGTTTACTATTTAAAAAGCAGGTGCTATGAGGTTTCACTTCACCTTTTTCCGATTAGCTTCGTTACCTCTGCTCTTCAATTTTTTATTTATGTTCACCCTGAGACTCTCCAAATATATTTTTTCACTGTAAAAATACCATCAAGCTTTTGAACTAAGGTAGCAAGTAAAGTCTAAGCTGAAGGTTATTAATTGTTCCATATTGTTTTAATATCTTTTTTGTTGCATTAATGACAATCAGATGCCTTTCTTTTTTAATTTGGGACCCTGTTATCTTAGTAAATAAGAAGATCAGTTACAAGAAGAGAAGTCTCAAAGGTTTTGTAAACATAAATACTCTCAGTGTTGGGGCTCCCATTATGTTTTTCATTTCTACAAATAAAAACTCAAAAAAACAGAGTTCAACCAAGTGGCTGGACCATGTTTCTATAGTGTAGACTCCGGGTGGACTCACGGACAGTTAATGGGGGTGGAGCTGATGCATCCTGCTTCATCAGAGCTTTTCCAAATTTATTCTACCACATCCATCTTCATCCAGGTCAGCCAGGCCCCTATTGCTTCACTGCTGAGTTCAAATAATAAAAAGTAAAATGGAGCATGGAAGACAGAAGATTGTTATCCTTTTGCAAAGAGGCTAAGACAGCTAAATTGTGACACAGTTTAAGCTGTTCAATTTTGACAGGTTTGATTGGAAAATTAGGTGACCTGTGTAGTTAGAGATCAAAATGGTCACACTAGTTTACAGTTTTAAAAAGTCGTAGTGTGGTATTTTTACTGCAGTCTCTGAGAATATTATTTTATTCTGCTTGGTAGTAACTGTTGCACAAATGACTGTTGTTTTGCAGTTTGGTGATTTAAATGCTGTGTCTCCTGGAAATCTGGATAAAGGTAAGAATTGAAAATAATGTACATTTTTAAGGACTTTTTTTGAGTAAGAAATTCTCATAGAGGAAAATGTATATGTGTATATCACCTTTATTTTGTGGAAATGGCATACAATCCTTGATGAATATGACAGTTAAGTCTTTTGGAATCTTTATTTCTCCATTTCTGTGCTTTCTTTATGTTACGTATATCAAGTGCAAGAATTGAATTTAAATACAGTTTAAACTCTTTTTGATTTTTTTTTGCCTGCAGTTAAGTACAAGTAACCAGAAATTATTTCTGGCTTTCGCCAGAGTCCTGAAAAAAGTGATAAAATTGGGTCAAATATTTTTATTTAAGGCCCACCCGGCAAGAAAAAGATTCCTCAGCCTACTCAAGTCACCAATTCACACTTTTCAGTGGAAAAAGAACTCAGAGATAACAATGAAGTTTACTATAAAAGCAAGATCAGTATTGGGGTAGATGAAAAGGATAACATATATACTTCTTAAGTTTTCATATCAGCATTGCCACTCTAATATGACAACACAATATATAATTCTGAAGAAACTCACGACCTATAATACCACAGAGTAAAAGGAACAGGGCTCGAAGGAAAATGAGGTTGAAATAGAGTGCACACAAAGAAAAACAATTCTGAAAAAAATACCAGCTCAGTTGTTGTTGTTTTTTTAATGTAAAATTTCTAATAAATAAGCACTGCAGAAAATATACACCTTTCTTCAAAAAACAGAAACAACAAAAGTGAAGATTTCTTGAGGTTTTAAGAAATTGAGTTCTGGAGTCAGGGACGAAGTGTACATAGATTGGGGAGAACTACACCATTATCCCTTCCAGGACAGAGCCAGAGCCAGTGGGGAAACTGAGGCATGAGGAAGCACGTGGGGAATCCGCACACGAAGTGCCACACTGTTCTCCTCAGCATCCTGTACTAGGGTACTCCGTGTTCAGCTTCCGTGCCTCCTTGGTGATGGAAGACATTCACATGCCGGGGAAAGTCCTGTGTGAATCAACATCACTCCCACTTTAAACTCCTATCACTATTTATCAACTGTGTATGCGTTAATTCCTGTTTTAGCAATATGCATAATAGCAAAACAGGAAAAGTAGAGAACAGTAGCCCCAAAGCATCATTGTTGCAAATATATACTCTATAGGATTAACCAAAGAAACATCAGAGAGGCAAATCAATGCTGAGGCCAGTTTGTAAATTCAGAGCAGGAAAAGTGGCTGTTGAAACGCAGGCCCAACATACAAGGCAACCCTGATGATGCACTGACACCAAAGCCTCATAATTCAAATTTGGGGATTTCATCCCAGGGTGTCTGGAGGTGTAGTAGGAATGTTGCTCCTGGGCCAAACACTGAATGGCAGCCAGTCTTCCTTGTCAAGTGTTGAACCAAAGTTTTTGGTAAACTCCAGTAGCACCTAGTTTTAGTTTTTGTGTACCAAATTCCCATAACTTCAAGTAGGTTCCCAGGAAATGTCTTTTGAGTCTTTATAGGAACATAAAATGTCTGTGGGAACTAGAGAAAGGGCTTGCTTTTGTGATTGCTTTGTAGCCTATCCAAAGGAACCCTGTCACTCACAAGTGGACCTGAAGCAGCGTGGCCTGGAGCATTGGAGTTTGTTCTGTCCATCTCCCCATTGCCTTTTCTGTCCACAGCAGGGTAGATGAAAGGACATCCCACTCTCTCTCCACTTGCCTGCCTGCTTGAAATGATTTTTTTTTTTCTTTTACTGCTGCCTCTTTTATTACTTTGACACTATTTCTCAGTCACAGAAAAGTTGGTGGAGAGGGAGCCAAGAAGCAGTGTGACTTGCCCTCACCTTCCTCGGGTGGCTCTGCTGGTCCCATTCACCTCTAGACTGGATGCTTCTTGAGAATTAACCAAACTAGCATATTCAGAACCTAAGGTTTGACTGTGAAATCTTTAAGAAATTTTGGGGGGCTTTTTCCACAAAATGAGAATTTGATTTTTTTCTGGATAATAAAAGTAACATTAGTTATGTATAAAGATTTCAAATAATGCAGAGAATTAGAAATTACAGAAAGTAAAAACTTCATAGTCAAAAGCCGAAGAGACTACCACCGTTAAGAATTTAGTGTGAGGATCCTTCCAGACCTTTTGTTTGTTCATATGAAAACAAATACAAAAAAAAAATGCGAAAGTGTCATACAAGCATATTTTGATTATATCCTCTTAATGAAGCAAATGTCTACCAAACGTAGCCCTTTCCGGCAGCTCGCCAGCCCTTCGAATGTGCTTGTTCGGATAAACTGTAATGCTATCCTCAAGTCCTTTACCAGAGGCGAATGGTAACCAGATAAAGCAGGTGGCCAAGACAGCTTACCTCGTCCCAGAGAACTTCTCTGTTTATCGTTCAATGCATCACAGACACCATTTCTAGTCAGTACATCTAATCTCAATCTTTTTAATCACACAACATTCCCAGAAGACATTGCTCCCGGCAACTGCACAGCTGTACAACCTGCACCTTATATGGAGGCCCTATTATTCCTCACCACTTTTCTCTGGAACCATCTTTGCACCAATTGATAATAAGAGAAGCAACGTCAGGGAGTCCATTTACGCCGAGAACTGTATTAGCAGAACTGCTGCAGGTGTGCCCCAAATGGTAAAACTAGACTCAACACCTCTTGGACAGAGTCCAGCTGACTTTGCAGTAACTTGTTACACACTCTTTGCCTGTGACATGCCATAGAATATAATGGAGATCTGATTCTGTTAATACAAAAGTCACCATAATAAGTCAAAAATATAAGAGTAAGTATAGATATCTTTTATTTATAGATGAGGTTTTGGTGTAATTATGTGTGGAGGCTTTTTTGGTAAACAATAAAACATGTTGAGGATGAAGTAAAAAGACTTTTTTTTTTTTTTTTGCCTGTGCCACGTGGCTTGTGGGATCTTAGTTCCCCGAGCAGGGATCGAAACCAGACCCAGCAGTGAAAGCACAGAGTCCTAACCACTGGACCGCCAGGGAATTCCCAGTGAAAAGATTTTTGAGGCAGAAATATATCCCTAGCTGTTTAAAAATTAGCGCTTATGAAGAGGTATTCTCTCCACTCCTCTGAGGAGAATCTTACACAGTAGTAAAGCTGTGTGAGAGCATTTTCTCTCTATGCTGTGCTTTTGAATTTTAACAGTGCGTGCTAGAAAAAATTAAATAGTATTCCATTATAATGATGTTTTAGTTAATATAAAATGTATTAAAATTTGGAGGTAACAGTGACTATTTATACACCTAATTTCCAGAAATGAATACTAGCTGTTAACAGAGAGTATCAGTGTTGCTAGGAATGGAAATTCACTGTGCATTTTTAATCTGATACTACTGCCTCAGTCTTCATTTTGTAGTAAAAGTTAAGGGTCTAATTAATATTGTGATCTACAACATTCATGTGCACAGAAAGTCTGTAAGCAGCCCCTGCTTATGCGTGCTATAGTTATTTTGTGACTCAACACAGGTCTCACCTACATTAATATCAGCACAGATAACATTTATATCAGATGTAGATTTTCGGAGGAAAAACAAATTTTTTTCTTTCTTTCTTCCTTTTGTTTTTTTTATAGTTAGCATTTTTCAGCGCCATACATTCCCCAAAGCCAGTGTAGTGTACCCAAATGACTACTTTATAATGACACAAATTATGCCGCTAGTTAATGTAAAAACTTCAGGGAACTCCAAAGGTCTTCTTAAAAGACCTATTAAAGATATCAGTCACAAACCCAAGAATAAATTACCTTTGCTGTGTTTAAAAGAATAGAGCACTGACACAGGTAAAATCTATTGAAAGGAAAACCCACAAGCTTTGTCCCCCAAGAAGGGCTAAGGAGTTGCTTTCTCAATGTACTATATTAAAGTGTTCCTAAAGCATTTGTTGATTGCTCTTTTCCAGTTTGTCTTCTGGTAATAGTCTTGGTATTATTTGTTTGTGCAGATGAAGGCAGTGAAGTGGAGAGTGAAATGGATGAGGAATTAGATGACTCTTCAGAACCTCAAGCCAAAAGAGAGAAAACCGAGCTGAATCAGGCATTTCCGGTAGGCTGTATGCAGCCTGTTCTCGAGAGTGGCGTGCAGCCAAGCCTCCTGAATCCAATTCACAGCGAGCACATCGTCACGAGTACTCAGACTATCAGACAGTGCAGCGCTACAGGAAATACCTACACTGCAGTCTAAAGAATATTAAAACGTATTTTTCCAGCTAACATTAACCTTGTTGATATTGGGCTTAAGTTGAAATTTTAATAAGCCTGAAGGTCAACGGTTGTCAAATTCTCTGTGCTGAACATTACCTTTTTGGAGTTGTGAAATGGAATGGGTGTATGTATTTTGCCAGGTCTTTTTTTTTTTTTAATGTAAACAAATTATTTGCTTCTTAATAATGAGTTTTTTTTCCCTTAGTTTTGGGTGTCAAGAAGGATTTTTACAACACTTAATGTCAATGTTTTTGTTTTCTTATAATTAAAAAATAATTTACATTTTTTTGTAGCTTAAAATATTTTATTGTTGATTGTTAGTCTTGGTGTATGATTTCATGTGTAAGTTTTTAATTAGATGCACTTCTGTGAAATATCAAAAGAAATGATTTTCTTTGATTTACACTGGAGGCATGCCCATTTGGCAGCAGATGCATCAAATTTGCTTTTGAAAGGTGCTTTTCATTGGACAGAACCACAAGACACTATTTTCATAACATTTTGGAGTATGGAGAGAGAATACAGAGCATTTTTATTATAGTGCTAGAGGGTTGGGAAGGTCATCTATTTTTCTCTGAAGAAAAGTTGAGCTGTGCATTTATCAGTTCAGAGTAAATGACAGAATTGCAAGAGATTATGCTAATATGTACATAATTTGTGTACATAATTATTAAACCATGTTAATGCAAGCTTCCGTTAAACATTGAATTTTAACTGTTATTTGCATACCAATTCCTCTGTTTAAAGACTACTGATTCTGTATTTGGGACCACTGCACAGATGCATTCTGCTGTTGAGTGGGGCTGTTATAGTTAGATACTGAAGCTGAAAAAAATGACTTGACTTTTTTTTTTTTTAAGTGTACATGCTACTTATGCTGAGCTGGACATACAGGAAACCATTCCATTTGAATGACTTTCTTTTATTCCAGGTCTTTTTCCTAATAGTAGTTCAATATGCTGCTATTATAAAAGAAAATGTATGGAATGCAAGGAATGTAGCAACCTGCATATCGTTATTTCCTTCAAAAATATTTCCTGGTTTCTAAAGTATGTGGATTTAAATTTTAAACAGAACCTGAAGGCAGTGTAACTGGCACACACCGCACTGTTGCTTATCCCCAATTCTGTAGGATTTGGATAGGTGGCTGGATGGACCAGTGCCGTTGAAGAATGTACATCAGGGATCATCGTACCTCGGCTATTACATGGTGCCTTAAAACAGAACTGAAGCTAAGGTTTAGTAAGGCTTATTTTGTTCATGTGAATTCCTCTTCAATACATTTGACAAGGTGTGCCTGTCATTTTCAGATTCCCGAAGTAAGGACAGGTAACATGTTCTTCAAAGGAAATTTAGGGCAAACAAAGCAAAATGAAAAGACAAAAATCACTTCCCCTCTTTGAGTGACCGTGAATTTATTTTTGTTCCTAGAGCTGAATATTACTTGATTACAAATCACATTGCTTAAGGATTAAGGATCAGATTGCTATTGTGAAATAGCAGGCTAGTTTTAATTACCAGCTTTGTTACAGAAAATCATATATATTTTAGACCATTCTTATCTAGTTATAACTTAAGAAAATTAACACAATAAGCAGGTACTTATTGAAGTGCATCTTTTCAGTCTAAATGTTTCTCTGTGTGTCTCAGTGTCTGTGTGCCCACATGCACGCGCGAGTGTCCGTGGGCAGGAGTCAGCTACCAAGTCAGAAGGTGAGATCCCAGAGAGGATACACCCATCCCTACTTTAATTTACGTGAAAAGCAAGGTTCTTTTAAGCTCTCAAATTATTAACCAACAACAACAAAAACAGGCACATCCATTTATTTAAATAGTTCTAAGAAAGCTAATTAGCAAAAATAAATAATACACAAATACATAGAGCCAAAAAAAGGGAAAGCACAAAATGATTTACAGATTATTAATGAGGCCTATATTACACTCAAGACGTTTATCTTTCCAGTTTTATTAGGGTGGGGAGGGCGGGGGCGGGGGGGTGGAAAGGAGAGGGTGAGCCAGTCTGTACAGTTGAAAATACCAAATGGCTTATTGGGTAACATGCAGTACATTTCAACTGTTGTTACTTGATTGCCTTAGACTACTCAAATAACTAAGATCAACAAAGCTTCTTAAGTAAACTTTAAATCATTCAGATATAATTTTTAAAATCGATTCAAATTTTGTATCATACAACTCACTCACATGTTTGAAAGTCTTCACTAGCATCCTAGCATCACCTTCATTTAAATGTCATTTAAATGATCATGCCCCTTTTTCCTCCCCTAAAGGCAATGAATTTGCACTATCACACACACAAACGCAAACAAACACCTTAAAGCTGCAAAGACTGTGTATCTACTTCATCGTGCGTTAGGAAAGGTTTACAGGTAAAATTAAAATCTAAAAAGGAAAAAAAAATTCTTCATTTTGATGCTCCTTTCTGAATTTTTTCACTTCCCCATTCACAACCCCCAGAACTTTATTATATCTGTGTTGGACCAAATGTATTTACTGGTTTCATCTTGTTTATTGAATGATTTTAAATGTATTTATTATCATTGTTTAATTTAATGTTGGATATATTTGTCTCATTAGAGGAATCTGATAATGGCAAATTTAGATTGATGAAAGTTAGGGATTGGGCACCCTACAGGATTCAACATTTCTTCCAATTGTTCATGGTTTGTTCTAAATTAGGACAGATTAGAGGAATTTAATATTATTAACTTGTCTCACTAAAAATATTCTAATGTCTTTCATGAACACAGTTAGGAACATTAATTCTTTGTGACTAGGGTAGGTTGTTCTGATCAATCGACAAAATAACATCTATGATCTCTGCTATTTCCAGTTATCTGTAATCCACAGTAAGACACATACACACACACATATATATACAAGATCTCACACGCACACACACACACACACACACACACACACACATCTTAAGCAGTTTCAAATGTAAATTGTGAAGTATATTAGAAAATAAAAACATCATAATTTATACAGTTGAGCAAATTGGAGCAAACATGTATTGAACATTTTATTTTCATTTTTTCTGTTCACTGAAACTGACTTTTCTAAATAATATTATGACACTAACATTCTCAGAGTAGATTTATTGACAAGTGGCAAGTACACATTTTAAGGACTTCTTAATATTTCTTGACACTGTAATTAAACACTAGTCATGAAAAATATCTATGTAGACCTAGTGCTGTGCTTTCAGTGAGGAAAAATGTGAGGAAGGCATGTTGGCCACTTTTAAGTTTCAAGAAAGATATTTCTGTGTAATAGGATTGAGTATCATGGGTATAGTTTGATCTTCACATACACTTTGAGAATCATACCCAAAAGATTGGCATTCACAAAGCCAGTGAACAATGGGGTGAAATGGATGAACCATCTCCTTGGAACACAGGGCCCAATTTTAAATTTTTTCTTTGGATATCAAGTGGCTGGTCACTTTTTCAGGATTCTCATCCAAACTACGCTTGGACTGACTGTATAAGTCTTACTGCCTTTACAGAAATCTGCTTTCCTTTTTGTGCTTTTTCTTGTACTGTATAGCACGGTTCATGCACCTCTCTTTAGATGGTGTACTTGAAAAACAAAAGTAAATTTTAGAAAATGATTTTTAACACTGCATACCTAAAATTAGTAGTGTGCAACATTGACTGCCTTTGATTTGTAGTAGACAAGTGAAAAGGAACACGTTCTTGTAGAATGCTGTTAAAGTCATTCAGGACTGAATACGGTTTCATTACCGTAATCATGAACCTTTTTACATGAACGCACTCTCTAGAAGTGCTAAACGTGATACATTTTCAAATTTGAAAAATTCTTCAGATGATATATTTGAAACATCTAAAATAATGCTGTGCTTGAAATATTAGTGTAAAAGAAAAAAATGTGGGTCACTGTGATGTTGGTCCTCCCTGTGTGGACACAAGTAGAAAGTAAAAAACTGGCAAGTCACCTTTGTGTGCAATTTGAGGCAGTGGTTATATACAACAAATTGACCTTTGTTATAACCTCCCCTCCCCCAAATTCTTGGTGAGAAAATAGCAGTCATCAAAATATTGAAGTTAGAACTTGTGATTTGTATGAATCACACCAGAACATGGGGGAGAGGGGTTGACATGCAGGGCTATTGAAAATTAGGCTTGTCACTAGATCAGATCAACCTCCATGTGTATGGTTAGAACAAATCAATTAATGGAATCCTAGTATTTCTGCAACTTTGGTGATTTTTTTAAAACTGGAATAGAAGCATTAATTCAGTGCTTAGTTCTAGTATTAGAAAACCCCTTTGATGTAATGCCTTGTATTAACCCTTTGAGCATTGTAAGATATACAATGGGGGACAAAAGCCTTTCAGATCATTTATTTAGACTTAGACCGGTAAAATATACTCTATATCCAAATGTCTAATTATGCTGTTTTTTAAAGGGGGGGGTAGGAAGAGAAAGTGTTTCCATGCTGAACACTTGCATTTTATATACAACTCTTAATTTTCTTCAAGAGGGCTTGATATATTTATTCCCAAATATTCACTGCCATCTAAGTAAGTGTACTGTTTACAGAAAAAAAATCAACTTTTCTAGCATCACATCATGACTCTAGAAAAGGAGGACAAATAACATGGGCCTGTAGACCTATGTTGTAACTGATCTCTGCACATTGAAAGTACCTAGATTGCCTTTAAAAGGTATGATAAAGAAAGGGTTACATTTCTTTCTTTCTTTTTTTTTTTCTCCCCAAACAGAACAAAAGATCTCGTTTATTTAGCTTTAGAAAGTACAATTGTAAGTGAAGCCTTAGGAAGAAACGAGTTCAAGTGGATAAAGAAAAACTGAACTATGGGGCAGGTAAGCTATTTGGAGTTAGATCTCTCATAAAATATTGTTTGGGAATTTCATATAGGGCATAATTTTATCTATGCTCCAAAACTTTAATACTTTGTCAAAAAATTATATATAGATAGAATGGAGAGCAAAGCACTTGATTTTAAGCTCATCTGTCAGGAGATGCTATGACTACTGCTTCTGATATCTGTAAATGCCAGTCTGCTTACACAATTGCTGACTTTGCTCAAGGGCCTCTCTGCGTGCACTGGGCCCCCTTTGTCCCCTGTGAGAGGGAACATGAGAGCAGTGTCGTCTGCAGATGTGCTTGCGCTGCCCTACCCGGGCGCTCATAAAGAGTGTAACCTATTCCGATGTCTGGTGAAAGGACATCCATAGCATAGTGCAAGTTTGCCGTAAACATTGCTTTTTTAGGCAGTTTAGGAAGTCAAACCATGCAAATTACTCATGTGTTAACATGCAATACTCAAAGGGTTTTAATTTAACTCTCTTCTTTTGAATTCTTCATGATGAT